AAAATATCTTTAGGAAAGAAACATTTCGTCTCCTCTAACTTAACGCAGAGGTGGCTCTCTAAGTCGTACACTTTCGAGAACGAATTTGTTTGCCATATTAGCAAAAAATGGCGTTAGTGAGACAAGGACCAACAATCAAGGATATTAACAAATTATGCCTTATTTATTCATTTATTGGTTTGTTTTAGTTAGTGCTGTAATCACCGTAAATGACGTCACTATGCAGAAAAGGCTTGACATTTATGAGGACTTGGATAGGACCATCTTGTTCTCAACGACACTCCTCGTACCATATTGAAATTTCTCACCACCCGCAGAAGGCACCGAAGTAATTGACTCAACTTAAAATGTGTTGAAAAGGCTTTATATCATGACATGTTTAATGGCAGATGAAGTTGACCTGCAGACGTCGTTTCCGTTCTCACGGTTTGTCAAAGACCAAGAGACATTTCAAATCGACTTTGCTGTAAGGAGCGGAAAGCAAAGGAGAAGTGATTCTACTGCTTAGACTTTTTATTAGCTCTTTTACATCTACTAATTTTAGACAATTTTGTAAACTTGAAATTGTGTGAACACACCACAAATGATTCCCATAAGTCTAAGCACTATTGTAATACGATGGTGGTTTATCCCTCGACTCTGGTGAGGCGCCACTTTTGTTACTTCGAACTAGCCCCTTTGTGCCTCGCTGGGTGGGCTGGCCTTTCGGGCCATGCCAATAGCCCAGACACCTTCTCCGTGCTGAATATATATATTCTGCACGAGTATTGTGTCTTCTTTTGTCTTCAGGGAGTCTCGGGACGCTACATTGGTGGCAGCGGAAAGCGAACCCGATCTTAAGGGACATGTATCCTGATTTTCCACTTCTGCGTGATAAGCCTTAGTGGGGCGGAAGAAGTACGTATGCTACGGATGGGAGAATGGTGATGACCCCTAACAGAAGGGTTGATGTTGACGTCTACCTTCGGCATCTCTCCCAGTCCCGTGTTCTGCAGAAAAGCTATTAACAACTGAAGCGACACTAGCTTTGAAACATCTGGAAGCTTCGTTACGGATTTCCCCTACCATCCCCCATGGACCTGTTTTAAATCTTGTATTCCCTTACTCAAATCTGCTTTTAGGCCAGTGTTCCTGCATCTCTCTATGGACACGCATGATGGCCAACGCAATTCCCCGTCCTGAATGAAATCCCTAAACCGGACGAAACCCCAGATCCAGTCAAGCTGCCAAGAGGGATCAATGACGTTGAGGTCAAGTATCCCCTCAGTTGCGCTAATTTGGCGACTGGCACGGTCGGCTCGTGGGTGTTTCTTTACTGCACCGACTACGTTGTAATAGCTGACGCGGGAGGTTGACCAGTGGGAGCGCCGGGGACGACGCTCAAAAGAGGAGGGAGGCTATGTAGTACGATAGTGGTTTATCCCTCGATTCTGGTGAGGCGCCACTTCTGGACTTTGAATTAGCCCCCTTGTACCTCGCTGGGTGGGCTGGCCTTTTGGGCCATGCCAATAGCCCAGACACCTTCTCCGTGCTGAATATATATATTCTGCCCGAGTATTGTGTCTTCTTTCGTCTTCAGGGAGTCTCGGGACGCTACACTATATGTCTATTGCCATTAGATTGTGTTTGGTGTAAACGGAATACACCTCTGCAGTTGGAGAGTAGCTAAACTTGTATATATTGACAACCATCTTTGCAGTGAGTTCAAGATATTTGAAACTGACAACCAAGTTAATGGGATTTTGGTTTTGTGAAGGGGATATTTAGACAACTCTGAAGAGTGCAAAAGGGCAAAGACCCATGTTAATTGTCTCTTTGACCTATTTTTACCCCCCTTTTAAGACAATGACCCAAGCTACCATTGGTTACGGCTCATTTGCTGAGCCAATGTTGACATTCAATTTTGCAGGAAACATGGAGAAAAATGAAAATTAGAATATGTGAGTCTTTCATGGAACTTTTTACCCACCATTTGCTGCTCAGCGTGACAATTTCTTTTAGGCCTCGAAAAATTTCTTTTTGTTAGTGTCCGTGGATTATACACAAAATGGTAAGCAGGCATGCAAATTATGAAAAATAATCATTTACATATCTTAATTTATCCTAAAATTATTGTATGAATGTACGAAATTTAGGCAGGTCAGCGTCACAAAATTTCACTGTCATTATTCAAAAGCGTATTTTCTACCTTAGGAGGATCACCGGAAGTGGCGGAATGCAATCGTAAGTTTGAATGCAACACGTGAATTTTTACAAACCATCGGTTTCCAATTGCCTTGAGCGCACATTTTGAATGAACTAACTGGTGCACCAATGGCCGAAACTCTTCCCAAATGTCACCTTTTGGGATACCCAAAGGCACAAAGTAAGTTGTTTGCCTTTGGCGAAATACCAATTATAAACTAATCAAAACATTTGGAATCGGCTTTGATTTCCTTTTGGAGGTCCATCTTTCCCGATATACGTTATTTCATTTTACTTTAAAGTGCTCAGGCCCCTCCCTATATTGCATTGCTTGCATTACTTCACCCTATTTGCTGTTATCATCAGTTATCGCCCTTCATACTTTGTTTATACCCTCAAAACAGTCATTTTGAGTTAAATTGAATACAACTACACAGATCATTCTATTTCCAAAAGTAGTTTCTTCATCATTTTCCATGTTTCATTAGCAGCCGCGACATCTTGGGGTAAGCGCTAATCCCACTACATGCATCGACGCCATCCAAAAATTTACACATTTAATCGTAGGTGCAAGTTAGAAAGAAGCAACATTATCGCGTTGCATAGGATTTTCTCGTAAATAAGTGTCCATTTTGTAAAAGCAATTCCTTTAAATAGCAAAAGCGTCATTTTATATACGGACCAAATAGTTATATTTTTTGGGCTATTTGCTTTTCCATGTAATTACCCAATTTGCCGTCTACCATAACTTGTCGATTTTGATCAACTTCCACCACGTAGGACCTGCGGTGACCCATACTGTTGGCTGTGAGCTGGAAATTAGTGCAATCAATGACCCACAATTAATAGGCACCCTTTACATAGTTGAGTATATAGATCACAAAAAGCACGTACTTTTGTTCATTTACTTTATCTTTAAAAATGATTTATTTCCAACTGTAAGCCAAATGCCAGTAAAAACCACTGCAACATTTAATTTGCAAAATTTTCCCCGTATAAGTGCATTCCTTTTACTCGTCTCTCAATAATCTCAGCAAATGCGTTTCATTTTTCACTCTAAGCACAAAATATTAGGTGAAGTGTTTCTTTCATCTACGCATTTGGCGATCTCTCAATGCATTGTCTAATCGCCTGTTTCAGTCGTTGTCCGGTTGCTGCTTATGCTGATGTGCTTAGGAAAGTAACAATTACAGGAACAAATGTGATAAATTACAAGAGCCTACATGGAGCCATAGTCCTTCGGCCTCCCTATTTTAATCTTGCTACCTTCCTTACTTGTAAATTGCCTTCCGTGCCTTGGTGTCTCGCACAACCGTGCACACCCTCTTGATTGTCTACCAAACACCTATTTACATTCCTACATTATTTGCAATCTCTGTGAACCCATTTTTAAGACTCATAAATTCTCTTTTATTTTGTTATGCGTAAGGAGAATTTCAACGTACCTTGGGCACTTAGGCAACAATCGCATGACCGCCTGTTATTATCATTAGCGTGACCACTTCTTTGCACTACCCTTTAGCTCACCATTCACTTAAGTACAGCTATCTTCAAAGCAGGTCATGAGCGAAGAAATTCAGCTTAATAATCCTTAATTGAAAATAAACAGCATCAAGCATGAAGAGTCTATATTGCAAAAAATAAATGACTGCGTGTCAATGATACTGAATCACAATTGATTGCAAAGTGAAAGGCAGTTGAGATGAACCCATTAGTAGTACCTGGGTCTAAATATAGTAGCCCTGAGCAGTTTGTGGACCCAAGGGACAGTTTGCAACTCATATTGTGAAAAGCCTTGACTTCACTTAAAATTACATGTGAGCGACATCGCAATGCTGACATGTTTTGAGGGTGTTGACGTCTGCCTTGGTTTGAAATAATCAACTTTTGTGCATGGGCCAATATCTCATTACCTGTTTATTCCTCAAGATCCTGAGTGCGAGTCGAGCAAATGGTAATACCGACAGGTCCCATTCAACACTTCTTCGAACTAGTTATCAATCCCGTCCTATTATGGGTGATATTTAGGTGGCAAATATGTTCTCCAAATTGTAAAGTGCCATTTTCAATTTTAGGATTTGTAGATAAAGCTGAAAATTATTTCTGCTTTGTTTGAAATGACGCGCAATTGACTGTTTACAAGTGAGTGAATTATAAATACAAAATTCACAGAGTAGGAGACAAATGCCAAAACATATTCTAGTGTACTGTTATTCACTGTGATGATCGGATAATCATGCTACATTCACCATTTAAGCCTTCACATCAGTGCATAAATCACTGTAACAAATATTAGTTCACCCATCTCCTCGGAGTAAGGGAAATTCCTAACTAACCTGGGTACCGGGCTTTGTTTTGGAGGGCTTCACTTGAGACAATAGCAAAAGACACACGCTAAAAACCTGCATCTTGACTTAGTAAAGAATAAAGAAATCGAGTTTTTTTACGATCAACTTTGCACACTAAGCAGGTTTTATTTTTCTTTAGTGAACTTCGTGATTTTATTAATTTTGCATAAGCTAACAGGTGCAATGATGCTTCCAAATATATTTTTGCGAATTTCCTAACTTGAGATACCGATGTATCATTCCTTTGGTGGCATCCATATGCCAAATGTTCGGAAATAAACGCAATTGATTCCACTTTCCAGCACCAACTTCAACTTGCTTGGTCCATGTCAGTTTGATTCACTTAAAATCGCTCTAACAGCTGCTCGAGTTTGAAATTTGCATTACTGCGTCTGCATTTGCTGTCGTCACCGGAATAGCTACTTCTGAGAATGGTTAATCGTCGTTTTGTTAGTTAGCCACATATCATCCCTACACATTTAGTGAAGTTGCATTAACAATAGGCTTTCCAGTTTTTCGTTGAATGCAGTTTGCTTAGCATTTTTCATATTTTATCATCAGCCACAACGTCTTCGGGTGAGTATGCGTTCTGATAAACCTACCTGTATTATCTAAAAATTGGCACCTTTATTTGTGAACATAAATCTGGGGGGTGGAATCATGTTGTATGCTGCCATAAGTAATTGCCCATTTCACAAAAAGGCTTTTGTTTAATCAGCAAAAGCGCTGTCTAGTACACTGACAAAATGCTTTTCCCTCAAACCACTTAAAGTTAGATACTCTCATCTGTTTTTTTGGTTGGTTAATATTCCTGCCATTTTTAACCTATTTTCATCACACAGGACACGCTCTGACCGACACTGTCGGCAGTAAGATGAAAAATGTCGCCGGGAATAACCTGCACTTAATCAACTTTTCTTGCATGGTTCATGGTAGGGTTCGCAAAATACGCATTTCTCTTTAATTATTTGTTTGCATATAACAAGGTTGTTTCTCATGAGCATTGCTAGAAAAGTTAATTTGCATAAATTTCCTAATTTCGGTGCATATCCTTATATAAACCTCGCGAATCTCTCATTAGGTTCATTTCAAATTAAAAGCACAAAATATTGGGTGAAGTGGTTTTATTGCTGACGTGCATGGCAATTCCTATTACAACTCCCAATAATATGTTTCAGTGATGCCTGACTCACTGTTGATACTGGTGATATGCCTAACAAGAAGATGATTTCATAGGCAAACGTGATGAATTTAGGACGACCACGTGGAACCATATTGACTTTGTTCATCTCTTTACAACTTGCCAACTTTAGTCCTTGCTTACAAGTGTATCTCCATGGTTTGGTATGTCAAACATACATGCACACTCTTCTTATTGTTAAATAAAGTATCACCACACATCTACTCTATTTGCGGTGTCTCATAAGTTTTTACGAATTCGGGTAAATATTGAATTAACTTACCAACTATGGTCAAAATTTCATGCTAACTTAAGCACTTACGTGAAGAATACTCGATCAAACTCTGTCACCGTATTGAGACCGCCTGTTGCACTTCATTCTTGCGTGACATGCACTTAAGAACATTGCTTTTCAAAGTAGGTGAAGCACGAAGAATTTCAAGTTGTTAACCTTTGTCTCAAGGAAAATTGGCAGCAAACATGAATAAATTACGTTTGGGGCAGCTAACTGATGGGTATATTAATGACAATCACCCACAGTCGATTACTGAATCAAAAGCATCTGTGATGGCATTTCTGCGCATAAGTGTGGCACAACGTCAATTACTTGGTGAATGTAAGGGATACTTTACAACTCACGTAGCTAGAAGCATCGTATTCACTCAAAAATTACCTGGGAAAGGAATGGATCGTAGGCAAAATCCCACTAATACCAACATGCTTTGACGGTATTGACGTTTGCCTTGATGTAGCATAAGCCACTTTTGTGCCAGGACCGAATCACAATGCCGGTCTATCCCTGGTGGCCTTGAGCGTCGGGCGTCCAAAGGCCAAAACCGAGAGGGTCCACCCAACCATTTCTTCAACTTCATTCGCATTCCCATCCTGTCACAGATGATTTTTAAATGCGCCCTAAGCTCTCCATCCTCCTAATTCTAAAGTGCATTTTGAACTTAAGATTTAGATGAAAAACTTAAATTTCATTTGAAGTTGATTCGTAATAATGAGCAAGTGGATCATCAGTTCGCAATATTTATTAGGATGAAGGAAAAATGGGCAAAATGGGTTATAGTGTCCTTTTTTCAATTCTGATATAAGTTTATTAAAAATCATGCTCTTCCAGTTCGGACTATTGTGCTACATCCATCTTTCAAGCCTTCACATCAGCGCACAATTCTATTCATTGCGGTCATTAAACCCGCACTCAGCTAGGCAACTTATCCAGTGGATGTAAGTACTTGATTATGTTGCGAGGTGTTGACCGCCATTGGGGTAGAGTTTGCAGATGAGCATCTACTTGCCAAGAGTTACAATGTAGGGCAGAAAGTTGCCACCCATTTGAAGTGGCTGGTTGTCCGAAAGCACAATAAATGAAGCGTTTAGTTTTGCTCAGCTCCGTAAGATGTTCAAATATTTGACAATGGTGACGATTAGTGTAGCTAAGTGTATTGTCTAAAAACGGTTTATATATGCCACGAAGTGCTTTTAAAATTTAGCCTCAAAAAGCCAAGTTTGGTTGGAAAAAATTACCAACGGACCCAGAAACTTGTTGATATGACAAGTGCATTCGAGAAAATAAAACAAATGTACGTAAGTAAATATTTCTTGGGATCCCAACAATTAAGCTGGAAAATCTTAAAAGTTTACAAATTTTTGTGGATTTGAACTGTCTCATGAAGGTATCAGTATCAGTTGCTTTTCCAAAGAACAATATGCATAGAGAATGAACTAAATTATATGTTGAGTATCTTCGGCCACTGCAAATTCGGATCTGTCTCTTAGTATTACAATGTGGTTTTTACAAAGATGAGTTGTTGTCCATTTTAAGGCGGATTACATTTGCATGCCAACCATTAAATCGACCCAAATGTGTTCCAGTGTTGACGGGCGATGTTCATTTTCACGTCTGTGGTCTGCTACTTTTAAATATCCCAGCAAGTTCAGAGTTTAGACATTATCCCTTTTGGGTTATTAGATACCTGACGCTTACATTTGTAACCTGTTATAACCAGGTTATACTTTAATAAACTAGGTGCATTCCAGACGGTGCACTAAGTGGAAATAAGCCATCTTGTAATTTAGAAAATATTGTCGAAGAAGTTAATTCAGCTTCCCCATTTGCGGCCATTTAACCAACACTGCCTTTAATTCGACTCATAATTGCCAAGAGCATTTGAGATAAACTGAGGATCAATTCCACCTAGTGGCAGTAAATATGTCGTCGCATGTTTCCTTCAACTGAGCCATAATACTAAAATAGGCTTTGTTAAAATGCATTTAAGAAACTGTCTTTAGGTGAAAAGATCAGCAAATGAAACCCTCTGCAGCAAGGTAACAGTATAATTAGAAAAACATCAAATAGACGAAATGCAAATAAAGCTCTCTACTCATAAATAGACAGTATGGATGGTATTTTGGCAATTCAATTGTAGCAAATCTGGAGAGGACCAAAAGTAGGCAATTAAACTTTGAATTTAAGCCAGCCTAGGAGGATGATATGTCATAACAGAAATCGGTAGCTTATTACAACTTCAAATATTAATGTAACGTTATCAACTAGGTTGCATGCAAATATCCGTCTGCATAAGGGTCTGGATTGTACTGTGATAAATGGACAAACTTGGTGGTAATATAACCTGTCTGAACACGAGCAACTCTTTGCTTTCATGGTCTGACCGTTTTGGTGTTTCTGGAGTACCTCCAGTTATCCGTCCTTTCACTCCAATATACACACGCACGTATGCATGTATGAATGTCTTTAACTTACACTAAATTGCTTCCTGTGATTCAGTGTATCTTCAGCATCCTAGAAGGCGATGTAGGCCGAATTTGCAAGGTAAACAGAGGATGCATTTTATTTTGCATCCAGTGTCAAGATACATAATCATCTTGTTGAACACACACTCACTTCTAGAAAATTATCTGTCTATCTCTGCTAACAGTCTCACTCTGGCACTAAAAAGGAGTGCCTAATTGATAACAAAGAACAGTTTTAATAGATGGCACTTAAGATTAACCTTCTCCTACCTTCCCTCGTTAGTTGCTGCAGTACTTTTGCAAGCATAAGATCAAAGCGTACGCGACCATCGCTCTGCGTGAATTGATGGAGTTACCTGTGCGGTCGTAAATCCGGACAGTTGACAACTCAATCTTTGTGAATCGCCTGGAATGGGCAATGACAGTGTAGCTGACAGATGGGTCAACAACTATGTTTGTTTGTGGTAGTGAATTGACATTGGTGATGTGAGTGACTGTCAGCCAACTTAATGCATGCTTAAACTTAGTTCAAGGAAAATCAGACAGAGTGAGTAAGCGCCGACTCCTCTAGATGAAAGGGAATCCACAACCGCTGCACATCTAAGTGCTGTAATGCCATGGCGAATATATGAAGAAGATATTTAAATGCGAAAATTTGACTGATCCAATTACCGAAACAATGAAAATGACACACTCTTGAATTAGCAACATCCTATTTTAAATGCTGCTAAAAGGGATTCAAAAAGCCACCAAACAACAAAAGCGATAAGGATGTAGGAATTTTATACGAAAGGCATCAAGACAGAATTCTTTGTTTTTTACTTCGCGGCGTCTATACAAACTTCACCAAGAAAGGCTTTCGTTGTGACAATTACCCTCACTAATTTGTGGTAATACGTATCTTTTTTATATCTTGCTCAAATTGACTGCATTCTCTTGAAAAGACTTGTAGCACTACATCTTTCTTTTTACGCTTTCGGTAAGGTTTTAACACAGCTTAACCCTCCTCAAGAGCAAATATCGCATATTTTTTGGTTTCAACTAGACGATTTTACAAATTAAAAGCTGTTAATTGATTAGGCTATCAAAACAAAGCAAAATATGTGTTGAGTCTGGCGACAGAAGCCATGATACGGCGCAAATGCCTCCAGATATATACCCTCCTCATGAGTTTGATAGCACATGCTTCTACAATGTAAATTAATGCGTGTTCTTCTGCATTACAAATGTGAGATAAACTACACCACACACAACTGAATTCGATTTAGATGCCCTTACGCAAATCTTCTGTCAGCTCTAGGCAAAAACCTGTGCACTTATTGCGTAAGTAGAATGGATAGTCATGTGGTTGATAATAAAGGTCCCCCTTTTCTCAGCTGTAGAGATAGCTTCACAAAATTATTCAGTCATCTTGGTGGAGTTTAGTCTGGGAACCGCACAACTGCACACATCAAGCTTAATCCCGTCTTGTTGTCAATTACGGCCTTTCCCATATTTACTGTGTCTCCTTTGCCATTTCGCCATTACAAGGTGTCACTTCATTCTACAAATTCACGCTTCCAATGAGCTGGGCTTCGTAAAATATTTATTGTACACATTGGAGCCTGCAGAATTGCGTCTAAGTAAATCACGTTTAACTTCAGGCATGATTTTACAAGGCTGTGCGAAAACACATTGTTTCACGTAGATAAGTATTTTTAATGAGCCGTGCACCATGTGGCGCGTACTCAAGACTTGGAACTTGTTTTAACTTTCATAAAATAAAAAAAAACAAATCTGAAGTCTGATGTAACTCAATTTATTCACTAAAAAATTTGAGGAATACAATTTCAAACGTATTATTTGAGGGTATGTGTTAAATGCAGCAAATGCTTAGTCCAAGTTTTTGGAAATAAATTCTCTTGATGCACTTTAAAAGCGTCAAATTGGTTGGAAAAGAATGTGGGTCGAGTTTGACCCATGCATTTGTTGCATTCGGCCATCCAAATGTTTGCTACTCCATAAGTGATATTACCAAAAATAATAAAAGGACACCTAAAGGAAAAGTAAATTTCGTTCAAATTTAGACTTTGGGTAAAATAAAAGAACTGATTTTGTAATCACCATCTTGCTTCACTAGCTTATAAAATTGACTACTTAATCATGCTCAAGTCAAATAAAATAATTTAATGCAAATAATGCTGGCAAATTGATTGTGATTTAGAAGACATAAATTACAAGTGATCAAACCATGACTATGCATAAGTAAAAGTACTTATTCCTTAGAAGATACTCGGCGCTGATACAACCACCCATATCAAAGGCCCACATTAAATAAGAATCTTACCGTTGTATACGAAAGTTGTTGCAGATCCTGCAAGATGGAAACAGGCAAGGCAATTAACTTTGTCAACTGATACTTAAAGTCGTATATTCAATTAAGTTTGCGTAAACTTTAAAATATTACATTGACAAACGCAGAGGTTAAACGAATCAGATCACTTTTCAACTACTGTGGAGGTACTGGTCTCAGTGAAATGAACTTGAATAATAAAATTGACCAAATTAGCGAACCGATTCATCAACTTACGGCTGCATTCTGCCACTTCCGGTGATATTCCTAAATACAGTAATGCTGTTTAGTGCGCTGCAATGCATCATTGTTTCTAACAATTGCTTGTGTATTTACGCACAGCCATACAATCTGTAGACTCATGCTTTTCACAACAAAGTGAATTAAATTGAGATATTTGGCCGAAACAATTGGATCATTTCAAAAGACCATTCTGTCTTACGCACCACTTTGCGTATAGTCGATAGATACAACCACCCCCGAATTTTTGCCAGCAAATGCGAATCTGTCATGGGATACGTTGGTTTTCCTTTGAAAAATTCCACGGAATACCCGCAAATCAGCCTTTTCGTCTTTTACCAAGTCGACTAAAATAGATGTACAGTGGTCATTTAGTAAGGGGAAGGTATCATGCATCAACAGAGTCTAGACTGATAAAGGGAGCAATTCGAATTGTCTTCCAGTATTACCATGTTTCGTGGCAGTGAAGACTAAAACTGGTAGTGCATACTGAAGTAGTTTTGAAGCAAGAACGCATTTTGATCAGCTGGATGGTTTTTAAACAAAGCATGCAATGTACAGCTCTTTTTTACATTTTAATGGATATTTAACTCACCACAAAAACTGTCATTTTTGACAGTAAGCTTGATTCCCAACCAAGTACAGTATATTTCTCCATTGATACCAAATTTGACCTATTTCAAAATAAATGAAACAACGCAAATCAGTATCACTACATGTCCTTTACTTTGTGTTAGGGTGAGGCGTACGCCTTTGAAAAATATTGCAAGAGGTGTTGAATCAGATGCAGCTAAGAGATGACGGGTTCAGTTACCATGTAGATCGCCAGGCTTAATTAGAAAATAACCTAGGCTTACTTCTGACATACTGTTTGCTCCCCAAACGGCAAAATCAACTTTGAAAGTCTCCGAGTCTTGGACAAATCGTGAGAGAGGAAACGATGTCTTCAAATCAACTTCATCTGTCAGGCATAACAGCAAGGCAAATGAATAAATGTTTATCTCTTACGTAAGTAACTACCACAGAGCATTGATAATTAGTCGGGAGCATAATGGAAGGATCTTGAGGAATTGTCGTTGAACTTGCAAATAAATGAACCACTGAGTAAGCAAGGCATTCCTTGTTAAAGTGAAACTCTAGAAACATTGTTTACTAAGGCTTCGAAATTTCAAATAAATCCAACTCATGCTAATGTATAATTGTTGCTCTGCATCCTATTTACATTTATTCGTTACCTTCCTTCTCCAATATTTGAAGTAGATGATACGGTATGACAGGAAAAAGTACCTGGCTCAGGTGGAGGGAATTTGCATCCCGGCAGAAAGAATGTTGTTGAAGTGATGACTGAAAGGTTGTTAACCTTTAATATTATCAAACTCCCCTGCTTGGTCACGTCTTTCACTGTGATGGCAGCATTACCTAAGGCAGAGAAATCCCGCATTAATTTCATGGAACCTCTTCACGGCGGCTTCTTCTAGAACTTATTAAAGGACGCCCCAATTAATACATTAGCCTAGCATGGTAATATTTAAATTTAGTCAATTTCTCTGAAGTAGACTTCTTAAACACATAACACTTTGTGAATAAAGTGAAAAAATTTCAATTAGGTGTATCAGGCCTCTTCACACCAACCCTATGCCGGAGTTGGGAAAAGCCGAATCTGAATCGACAACTAGGTATTCTGCATTTTTGATATTAAACACTGACTTTTGTGGCCAGAAATACTGGTTTAATGGCAAATCCTTGGGGAAATCATGTATCGTTATGCATGCAGATTACGACAAACTAACACACCTTCACTCTTCTTGCAAGGACTGCCCCAAAACTGAGTTCCGTTGAGGATGCATGTGTCATTAACAATTAATAATTCGAGATCGGCATTGACAAGAACCCTCTAAAAGAAAGGTTGTAGAAGTAAACTGTCTTTTATAATCACCAATATGCAGATGAGTCTGGTAAAAAAATGGTGTTTTTTTTTCCTTTAATATAAATTGCTTGATATTCTCTATCATGTAGAAGCTAATAAAAGATTACACATTTCAAAGATATAATGTACAATCAGTGTATGCTCATTCTACCACATTAGTAAACTCACAAATTTGCCCTCAATTTCATAATTCATAGTGTCTGACGGCCCCGACGCCTTTCCAACGATGCGTGACCCCCACAAAGTTGGAGTGTTTGCACCTTTCAAATATGAGATTCAGTTTTATCTTATTATGCCGAGAAATTCAGAATTGTGATATTTTAGACCATATTTTAGCAGGACTTTTATGTTAAATTTTAGGGCTATTCCCTTCCAATTATGGTGGCAGTGGGTTCTTAAAATTAGTTTAATAAATGCTGTTTCAGGTGCACCATTTCGCCGAAATTCCAAGTACACTGACGAATGGAACATATGGTTTTATACCAAGGAAAGAAGCGTATTTCTTAAGTCCTATTTATCACATGCGTCTAGTTATAGCATTAAGCGACATTCGAGAAAGTGGGCAAGTGAAGTTGTAGAAATGAGTACGTACCTGAGCAGTAGGCAGCAAAGAGGAGAACCACAATCACTCTCAGCATTTTAGGAGCTCATAATCGGTAAAGTAGTTTGTGTACATTTATATGAGCCTCAATTATATTTCAGAGCATTGATTGGTTGCCAAGATGAAAGTACTTTCAAAATGGAGAGTAGGAGGGCGTACAGTATCAACGTAATACTTGATGTTTGCGTCATAGTTGCGTGGGTTTCAGTTGCTCAGAAACGGAAAGATTTTGTACAAGCCAACCATACGCAGGGGGACACATTTCATGGAAGCGTGTCTCAATCGCCTCGAGATTATGAGCTAGACGGGAAGTTCTTCTTTATGGTGACACACTAGAATTTTGTCATGTAACACTCCCTCTTAGCAAAAAATGGCTTTCAGTAAGTGCTTAAGCGACTGATTTACCTTCAGGAATTTGCACAATAGACAGTCGTGTACATAAATATTCAATTTAAAAGTCTGATGATTGAATTAGTTCCATAGGTTACTTTGATAATTCATTTAAGCTGCGTGTAGGCAGATCTCTCGACCTTGGGGACTGTGAAGGAGTCATTGACCCTTGATGAGATCATGAGTTTTGTTTTACCAACAAAATATTACCACACTATGTAAAAGTTCTATTTGAAAGTTTTCTCTAATGTTTTAGCCCAGAGTCAATTGTAAAACTTAAGTCCCATTGCAACTTGACGCTCCACAACATTATGTCAGTCGTGGAAACACACTAGCAGACATATTAGTGACCTGGTAGCAAGCTACAATAAATTATAGCGAAGGAAAATTCTTCCATCAAAATTTGCTGGAAATCAACAGTGTCAAAGCGCAATATTCCGTTGACTTGTCACTTGGGATGAATTTAGAGGTGGAGGTTTGTGTTCAACAGGCTGAAATGGCAAAATCTGTAAAAGCATAGGGAAGTGAAGAACATATAAAGAGTATTTTTTAGTCAAACGATATCTTATTTAAGTGTTCGGCGGTTGTTAGATGCAACTTGTGGAAAGTAAGCTATTTCTCTGAGTGCAGTCCTCTTCATCACTCTCTTCTTTCGAAGACTTGTTAGCTGTGTGTTAGTAGGGAGGTATTAGTAGCTACGTGGTCTACCGTCATAAAATTGTGACCAATTTTTCTGACAGCAAGTGATGGGTGAGTAGTAGATGCTGAAAACTTTTGGCATCGATGTTGACGCCTGTAACGCGTATCCTTCAACCATTTTACAACAAAAATTACCTCAGTTCAAGCAACTTTAATGCATTTTGATTTCATTTTCTGAATACTTGCTAAGTCCAAACATTGCTCCATTTTTAGAACTACTTGCATGAAATAAACTAATGAAGTGTTTTCTTTCGCATAATTTACTACATATCCCATGTTGTAACTATTTCTCTTGAATGAGGAACTACGATAATCAATGAAAACGAATTTAATGCGACACGGAAATAACATTTAAATGGTAAAATTTTGTGCAGATGTTATAATTAGAAGGCAGCGTGACTTTATAAATTATAAAATTGGGTAACGATACTGCGACTGTTGCGCCTGATAAGTAGAAATTCCTCTCTGCTAGATGACCTGGTCATATTTCATAAAGGTTGAGCAAACAGCCACCAATACTTCGACAGTAAATTTTTTTGGAAATTAAGTGCCACAAAGGGTTGCTGTTAGCTGGTTTGCTCCCATTAGATTTGTATAATATCTCATAAGTTTATGTGCAGTGTAGAAAAAAGTACAATGAAATAAAATATTGCCAATTAACATCCACTCGTACCACATGACTCTGCAATTCAACCGGCAGACGTGTTCACGTGTGGGTTCTCATACGCGGATGCTGAATTACTGTGGTGCTAGTGATGTCGTTATTCAGACGACGCTTACCTAACGTTTAATTTCTTCATTATAATGCTCTACGCACACACAACCAAACGACATTTTACACAACGAACACTAAAATGCCGATAACAGTAGATAACGAAATAAGAGCCAAATTCATGGAACCGAACGCAACCATTAACTTGTTTCCTAGCAAATGGTGCAGCTAATTTCCAATTTTTTAACCCACTTTATCATGCAAGAATTGTATTTAGGACAATTATAAGATACCAGTGACGCCGTGAGACATTGGAAGCAAGTGTATTTTTGGCTGTTGTATAATTTTAGAGGTCTCGAGGCCATCAAAATCATTTATCGTGTACAATGGCTTCATTCGATTGTGGTGAAGCTTGTAGGCCTCTAACAAGTGGGCAAATTAATTACCAACTGTTGCAAATTTCATGCATTAAAGAATAACTCGAGCTGATGGGTTAGACGTTGTTTCTTTTGATTACGGGTGAACGGCCTTAGTGTCACCTCATATGTGTCAGTTTCATTATTGTTTCCGTTATTTTAAATGTCTTTTAATCCATTCTGTCAAAATTAACTCAAATCATGGTCACTCAAATTTAGGGTTGTCAGGCCTGAGAACAAAGTGCCACTCGCATTCAGACAGGTTGCCTTCACAACGTTCGCGCAGTTTCGTTAAGACACATCAGAGCGTTAAGCATTCATCGCTGATCACTTGCATTTGATAGCTATTGCTCCTCAATGAAGGTAAGCTAACTCGGAAGTCCGTAGTTCATATGCAGAAGCACGTCAGAGTCGTAAATTTTACGAGAGTTTGCACAGAGACCACTAGCTTGAAACTGCGTACCAGATGAGCATTTCCCACCTCACTTAATTGTATGTAACATTAAAGCCAATAAAAGCAGCTTTAACTGCAATCATTCATTATAATAAATCATCCTGTTGGGTTGGTATAAATTCTAAGCACCTGAATTGAACATATATTTCTCAGCCTTTACATAATTAGCGTGGAATACCTGGAGTTGTAGTAAGTAGCATATTCCAACATTGTTGCAATCACTGGTTTGTGGATCATATCGTTCAGTAATGCGGATCAGTCGATTATTTTCAGGCAATCTTCTCAATGGTGTATGCCTATCTTGCTCCATATGACAGTGAAGGGATTTTGGAAGGTCAAAAAAATTTCATTAAATTCATTGACATCACTCGCAAAAGACGTCAAGCACGTGGGTGCGTGCGAAGGTTGTGCATCATGCGGCGAGGCATGCGATGGGGCACTTAACCTCCACTGACGCTGGCATGTCGTCACGGCAGTTCCATACAAGTGATGATTAGTGCCTCTCAAGGTCTCGCCCATTTAGTCTCAGTGATTTAATCAGAGCTAAGCATATGTACATCCCCTGAAGTAAATTACTTTGGAAAACGAGGCGCAGGTTTCAGAATTCACTGAGCAGATAAATCTAAATTCAAGTGCACCTCCATTTACTTATGTGAAAATCTACGAGTTACTATCGTAATAGCATTAATATCTGAGGCACTTAAGTAAGTTGCTTAATCTGATTTTTGGGATGGATTCTGCCGTTGCTTTTAAATCAGCAAATTTGGTAGAAGGAATATAAATGGCATTTGATGCTCTCCATCGCCCAGTACATACTTCTCCCTAGCGTATTACCAAAAGCGACATAAGGACACCTAGAATATTTTCTAAGAAGCTGAAATCACCGAAATGGAAGAAGCAATTTCGCAAACAAATCCTCGCAATTAGAGCTTGGGAAAGCGTCTGTCAAAATATGCTCATGATAAAAAGTATGTTTTAGTGGATGGAATGATGGTAACTTGAATTAAATTACCAGAAGTAAATTGCTTGTGGCCTATTCAAGATTAAAGATATGAATATATCTTTGGGAATATAAAAATGTGCCTTGATAGTGTAAGCAAGAATCGCACCTTCGAATGCGAAAATAGGCAGAGTAGTTAACATAGTCAACTGACCCTACTGTGAATAGACCATCGTGATATAGTTGATTAAATCCAGTCAGGTTATCACTAGCATGATGGAAATCTGTTCAACTTCTGATACAACACATTAAAGCAACCACATCGATTTTCTAAAAGAGGAATATCGAATCAAGTTTTTTTAAACCCCTATGGATTATGATGATATGAACAGTACACTTAATGAGTTAAATCACTCCTCATTAAGCTTTCCTCACTAATCAACAGTGCCTTTGTAAATTACACCCTCTAAGAATGTTACTTGGAATTCAACTATAGGTGGACGACGCTAGTGCAACGGACAGAGGTGGAAAAATAGATGAAATACAGAATAGCAAAGGGTATATAAAAGGTTTTTCTTGGTCCAACAGCATCCCAATTTGATGTTCATGATTCATGTAAAATGAGAAGCAGGTCATTTTGAGCGATGTCAAGGATTTATCACAGAATTTAAAATGAATTACACACATCACACAGTTGTGTATATTCACCAAGTTGAAAGAGTTTCCATATTTGTATTTATCAGGTAGGAATTAACCAGTGGAGTGGTTACACTCACATGATCTACCACATGATCCATTAATATATTCGCATTACATTTACTGTGAGAAATGCTACTACTACATATTTGGTGCTCTCTTCAATGTAGTCATGAGTGAATTACAATGGAATTGAAGTGTCTGAACTGGACAGAGTTGTGATTTTAAACATGAGGTAGTAAATTATTCTAAGGATCTAAGGGAAAATCATCTAGCAACGGTGACAGTAAGTGACATGTTAAGCATTTTCCACCATACTATATGGACGCAATTGTTCCGTAGTTTGAATATATGCATATTCCATTGTCCTGAATTACTCGCCTACCAGGGTTAACAATCTCACTCGAGTGAGATATACATTTCTAATTGGCACCCGGGACCAAACTACCATTCAACACGCCATATTATATTACTTCTAATTTGCCTGAGCACGAAAATCTCTCTCCCACGACAGAGCGGTGGGTCTAACCACCTAGATTTTTGAAGTAAGTCTGAAAAGAGATTAGACACATCCCTAATTTGGCTTTCCTCTTTGTCAAGTGAGGAAGGCTTATTTGCCAGATTAAGTTAAGTTGTGGCATCTTACATCGCCAATGAAGAGCGAGGATTAGAGAGCACAAACTGGGTCTTGTTCTTGAATGTTCCAGAAAGGAAATTCGTAAGATATGCA